CGCTGCCTTCAACGCGCTTCCCAGAGAACCATAGTAGAATCAGCAGCAACAAGTCCTACGTAAAATGTCAAAAGAATGCAAACAATGTGCTTACGTCGAAGGCGCCCGAAGCACGTGCAGCACGGCGGGGATATGGACATCCAGCTGCAAACGAAGGTGCACAAAGCGGGAAGCGCAGTACGGAAATGCGTTGAGTAGCAGTAACAAGAGCCGGAGCAGGAAGAGGCACGAAATTTCCTTTTAAGTGCGATGTCACATGGAACCTGTTAAAACGGACAGACAGACAAACAGACACACACACACACCCTAATACAGACGAAACAGCACTGGAATTAGGCCTCGCCTTCCGCAATGTTATAACAGTGTTACGGTGCTGTAACGATGATGATTAATGGATGTAAAACTAAACACATATGCACATGTACCAACCCGGGCGCGGATATTGCTAGATACTACGGGGCAGCAGCACTCCGACAAGAAGCACTATGCGATGGATGAGCGATAGTCGTTTGGTCACGGGGCATCCGAGGCTCCCCTTAGCAGCCAGAAGACTTGAGCGAACTTTCTGGGCGCGCAGTGCTAATTAGAGCTTCAAAGAAGGTAGAGCAGATAAACACCGACAGGCCCCGAGCTCGGATGAAGCTACGGGCGCAGCAGCTTTTTTGTAACTCTGTCAACGACAATGACCACTGCTGTTGGACAAACTCGAAACAGGCAAATGCACTGCAGTTGCCGAGAGACAGAATCAGAGAATTCGATAACAAGATCGATGTCGCCTCCGCGACAAGCGAGGGTAGGCGCTGCTGCTGCTGCTGCTGCTGACCACTACAGCTTATGAGGCGACAGGCAGGCACAAGACAACTGTGCGCCAGCGCTTGAGTTTTCCTGTTGCAGTAGCTGCTGATCTCCCGCAACTCGCTCTCAGTGTCGGCACAGCACGTAAGTCCGCCACTGACCATCATGGCGTGTGAATGCCGCTCCTCCTCCGAGCTGTCACCCCTGCTACCCACGCACTTCGAACTTAACCTTCGGCACTGCGTCACTGCTCTCGTAGCTCGGCTCGGCTCTGCCAGCACCCAACCCATGCGCTACGTTCGTTCGTCATTTTTCCAGCAGCCGATCTCCTTTTGTTGGTCCACTGACGCTCCAGAAGGGAACCGGTGCGCTCTGCTTTCCTCGTGCAACGATACCGCCGCCGATATCCCACTATTACTGTGTATATTACTATGCAACTGGACAACCAGGACAGTAAATGAGCGACGCGAGCAGAGAAGACGTACCTTTGTCGGTGCGTAGTCGTTCTGCAGCGACCGCTTCCATCATCACAAGCTGCAACAAAAACACGTATAACCCTGCAAATCAGTCTATTCAAATCGATCGCGAAGCGCGCGCACGCACGCACGCACACACACACACACACACGCACACACACTCGACAAAAGAACACGTGAAAATATGCGAGCATGCGAATTGCAGGAAAACAAACCACTGCTGCCTCGCATTCGCTTTTGGCCCGCAAACAACAGCACGCTGTCGCACAGTCACAGCGGCCGATCCCAGTGCGAACCGCGCAGCACAAAACTAAACGCTACAGCTACTCAGCAAGCATTAATAATACGTATGCGGAACATGCGACTTCCGGGAATGAGTGTTGCGCAAATGAGTTTTCG